TGCTCGTCTACGCCCGCAGGTCAGCGGCGCGCGCCCGGGGCCACGCCACGGATAGAGTTGGTAGGGGTGACGTCATGGCCATGACGTAGGGGTGCCACGTGGCTTCGAGGGCACGGTGTTTTTCTCAGGCTGGGGTGCCCAGAGTGCAGGCGGTGCTGGTGCCCAGCCTGCTCCTCCAGGCCCAGCGGGGTGGGTGCCATATGCGCTGTGGGCCCCAAGCAGCACAACGGTGCATGGCTGTTCTGGGGCTGTGCTATGCATGGAGGCAGCTCTGGGAGCTGAAGAGAGCAAGATGCCCCTGGCTGCACCCCATGTGCTGCCTGTGGGTCAACACCGAGCCCTGCAGGCCGCTCTTGGACACCAGATCCATACTGTGGGTCATTTTCAGTGCCCCTAAAGTTTGACAAGCTTTTGGATTCAAGACCTTCATCAGGTCTCTGAAGTAAACTGCCTTCTGTTGGAAAGCTTGTCTGACTCTGACCCACTTAACAGCTGCTTCAATAAAAGATCTCACCCAAAGGTAGCGTTTCTGAACCTGTGGGTCATGACCCAGAAGTGGGTGGCAAGAATATATGAAAGGGTCGCAAACGAACTTTAAAAATGGATTCTCCTTTAAAGGAGAAAAAAGTGAGAAGCCATGGGTTTTTCCTTGCAGGCTGGAAGAGTCCAGCCTGCAAGGGGCTGTTTTCCCTCCCCCCATCTCTCCCCCTGCCCACACACTGGGGGTAGGGGGTAGCGGGTTGGGAGCAAGGGGCACTGGGTCAGGACTGGCCATTGATGTTTACAAATGGGTCCTGGTAGAAAAAAGGTTGAGAACTGCTGCCCGAAGGGATCCTCGCTTCCTGGAGACTTCAGGTGCCATTTGAAAAAAACCCCAAAACATGTGTTCCAAGCGTGGCGGTTATTTCATCTAACGTTCATGGACTTGACTTGCCAGGTGCTATTGAGTACCGTACTCTACATGCCTTGAAATCAAAGTACTAAGAAATGATACTGAGTTATTTAAGGACAAATGAAAACTAAACATCCTTTTTTTTTTTACAAAAAGTGTGGGTTTTTTTTTTTTAATTCTTCAAAGGAAAAAAAATCTTGTTTGCAATGCTATTAAACAGTTCACTAATGTGAAGTAAATAAACAGAAGAAAACATCTTGCTCTTCATGTTCACTCTGCATTTCGACATTTAGATTCAGAATCTGGCTCTGTTTTAGCTAATATGGCATTAAGCATTTTATACTGCATTACAGCTTGGCTCACTTTCTGTGCTCCTAACCTGTTTCTTAGTTTATTCTGGATTAAACTAAAATTCAAGAAAACATTTTCAGCCATTTCAGTAGATACCATATGTACCTGCAAACACATCCGAAATTTAACGAACTTCAGGTCCAAGTATATTTTTTTAAGTTGAGTCCACCATGTTGCTGGTTTTACATTCACTGTTAATCTCTGAGAAGAACCATTTAGGGTAGGAACTTTAATGTGCCTAGTACTGAATTGTTTGGGACAAAAAGTTAGGATCAATTTTTAGCGCCTTTCTGTTCTGTACTTGTTTCCTCCCATTGATTGTGAATGAAGCACATAAGGTAGGAAGTGAGTCACAGTCATTAAATCTAAATTTGAACAGCTTTGCACGTGGTTTCAGATTTTCACTGTAAGTAGCCACTTGTGTATTATATATGCAGTTTTGGTATCCTCACCCTGGAGTTAATCAAGAGCAATTGCTGTTGATTTTAGCTGCAGGTACAGATGCTTTGCCTCTTGTATAGCTCTTTGTACATCAGTGATGTCTCAAATGTCACACTTGTGTTCAGGAAAGCTTATTTGAGTAGATGTGATATCTTTTATTAGACCAACTGAGTTTTTAGAAAAAAATTCTTGGCAAGCTTTCGGGCGCAGTCACCCTTCTTCAGGCATGGGGAGTCTCTGCTGTTCTGAGACTCCAAGAAATGCAAGAAGCTGAAAGTGTGGCAGCATGTCATTGAAAATGTAAAAAGCAGAATTAGAAAGACAAAAGGTGAGGCAGAGTTGGGGGAGGTGGAGGGGGAAAAGAGCAGGGGAAAAAAGGCTGAAGGGAGACAGCACAGTGATAGAATACAAGGCTGAAGGGAGATGGTGTCCCAGATACTGTTTCCCTCCAGCCTTTTTCCCTGCTCTCTTCCCCCTTTCCCCCCTCTCTCTGCTTCTACTCTCTGCCTCACCTTTTGTATTTTTAATTCTACCTCTTACATTTTCACTGACATCCTGCCACACTTTCAGCTACTTACATTTCTTGGAGTCTCAGAACAGCAGAGACTCCCTATGCCTGAAGAAGGGTAACTGTGCCCGAAAGCTTGCCAAGAATTTTTTTCCAACTACTCAGTTGGTCTAATAAAAGATATCAATCACATCTACTCAAAGAACTTTGCCTGCCTATGCCTAGACCAACATAGTTACAACCAAAACCCCAGCACTCGTGTTCTACGTTTTTCTCATAAAACTCCGTATTTCAGAAAAGATTTAAAGTATGCCGCTTAGTTATTCCACCTTGTTTCTCCTGGCACTAGGGACAAAACAGAACGCTTTCAGTTGTTGAGGTGGCTTTTTGTAGTATGCTGGTTTTGGAAGCATTTCTGAACTTCTGTCCTTCAATAGATCACTTGAACAACAAACTTCATGGAGCCAGTTTAAAGCAGGTTAGACTGGCTTTGTCTAGCTGTAAGCCCTGAACTGGTCAAAAAAAAAAAAGTTTTCTGCCAACACTAGTTTGGAGGAGGAGCTGGAGATTATAGAACTAACCAACAATGCCCATATTTCTTCTGGGAGGGCTACTGACTAGTTTTTGATAGCATGTGAGCCTTCCTAAGACGCCCTTAAATCAATGTCCTTTTCTGTGTGTAATGTAGTATGATCAAGGTAATCAAAATAGGGTCATTTATTTATAAAAACACTTGTTGGTGGGAGATGGTATCTGGATTACTTGTACCTACTTGTCATGCATGTTATTTATTTTCTTCTTTATATGTTAGGAATAAAAGGAAAATCATGCGAATATTTACACTGCCTCCTGCAGCAGAGATGCCAACAGAGCCAAACTTTTACGACAGCATGAAAAAAATCCGCTTAAGGCAGCAGTTAGAGATGTATTCTATAGGTAAGTTTGTGCTGTGTCCTCTTGAGATGTGCATATTCCTAAGCAATCATGGAAACTGTATAACTGTATCTTTTTCAAGTACATGAAATGCTTGGATATTTTAACTGTTTAAATCGCAGAATTAAATCAGAATTTTCTGTCAGTGGTGTGCCATGTTAGTCAAGGCAGTTCTGTAGTATTAGTAAATAGAAATCACAGGAGGTATAAGGGTCCAAGTCTTTCCTCAGCAAGGTATAACTCTTATAGAAAGCTGTGATCCTGCAGCATGAGACTTGTAGTGCAAATCAGTCCAAGTGGGTTGAGTTGCTTGAAAGAGCTTAAGGAAGTGTGGAATTAGAATCTCTGTTTATGGACATTATGTTAGTAGTAAGGTGGTGAATCTAACCTGGCAACTAAAAATAGATTGTCAGGCCAGAGGGGGCCAACTAGATCATCTAGTCAGACATCCAAGCACTAACATTCACCAGAAGTACCTATAAAGAACTCTAGAGAGAATTTTTCATAAATTCCCCAGAACTGGCCTATCTGCCTCTGTCCCCACTACAGTTAAAGGGAGTATTAACATATATTGATAAGAATTGATATTGTAATAAAGAATAAGAATCTTTCCCTGATCAGGTAGTACATAGAAGAACACTGATTTTGCCATGAAGTATCAACAGTAAATTCCTCTCATATTACAAAGTATCCATTGAAGTAAAATTGATAAGAAGCCAGGCTTGTGCCTTCTACCTCTGCACTGGTGGTTAGGAGGAGGTATAGGGCTGTTTTCTCCCAGATCCTGTTGTGCCATGAAATGAACATGTGCCAAGAGAGCCCACCATGTATTTTCCAGTGCACAGTGGATGGACAGGTTCATATTTCCCATGTAAAGATGCCCTGCTGGCATAGGATTTGTTAGCGTCCCATAGAGTATAACTTGGCAGGAAAGAATGTGATCACAGACTGGCTTAACTGACTTTGTAGTAGACTGTTTACTGGCAGGTATCCCCTAAATTAAGGAGAGGGCTTATCACCATCTGTTCTTCTGTGATTAACAAGGTTAGTTGGATCTCTTATAACAACTCCCTTACTCTGATCTTTCATTTTATGAGAAATGACTGAAGAGGCTTCTTTAAAAGCAATGGGGTCAGGTTACTCTGGTGTGCATTTATTCAGATATCATGAGAACTGTCCAGGGTCACATGTTAAAAGGCCAAGTCCTATACATTGTCTGCATTGTCTGGAATTTCATCTTTAGTGGCTGAGTCTGGAAACTGTATTCTCCAGTCTTAGGACATGGACAAATGAACAAAGGGTTGAGGGCAAAGGAACTTCTCATGTGTCAGTTGCTCTGTGGTAACTATTTCATGTCTACTGCAGTGACTGAAAAAGCTGCACCATGAACAATTCTTCCCCTTCCCCCAAATGAAACAGAACTAGCTTCCATATACCATGGAACAGGAAGGGATGCACAAACCAGCTGACATGCATTAAGTTCAGTTTATCCCCCAGTTTGTTCTTGTCCATATCCTTACTTAAGCCTGTTATTGATTGGTGCAGGTGTCAGATGTTAAAATGGTTTCCAATTATTTATCAGGATGTGTAGGAAGATTTTGTTATACTTGGATCACAGCTGTTGCCTCATGTAGATACTTGTTGAGTCTAGTCCACCCACAGATAGATGTCACCCAGTCTAATATCCTGCTTGTATATTGAGCTGATATAGACTGGACATGACAACTCTCTGAACCAATCAGTAACTTTCCTGTTTCCTGCTCTTGCATTTTGGAACAGACTCAAATATAGACAGACTCTTCTCTGGTCTTTTGTTAAGTAAGAAATGATGGAATAATTTCATGGTTGGAGTAGGTTTTTTATTGGGCTTCTGGTGGTGACTTATGTATAGGTACTTGACCAGCAACTTGGTGCTAGAAAATTTGCAACTCACATTTTTTTTTTGCTTTGTGTTAGTCCTTTTGCTGCCTCATTTTCCTTGCACAGAGGTATCTTTGAACTTCATAGGTTTTAATAGTGAAATTATTTTATAATGGTACTGTTCATGATGCAGGGAATATGTCTCTTTAGGCTGTCTTCTCATGAGGTGTAAATAATAAATCCTTCTGTGATTGTAGGTTGAAATTCCATGCTTCCCTGGTAGCTGGAGGCACCAGGAAGCCCTTAGGCTGGGAGCTAACAGCCCTAGAAACCTCTTAGTTTTGGGGAGTTCCCAGGTTGGTTTAAGTTGAAAATACAAAGCTCAAGAGGGTGTGTGACATTTTACACTTTCTGTAAAGGATTTTTATTAGAGGAGTTTTTTCTTAGAGGAATAGCTTTTGGTTCACCTTACCAGGCACACTTTGACCACGTGGCTATTATGTGTTAGTTTATATTTACAAATGCCACCTGCAAAACTATACCATGTGCACACTAGAGTATAGTTAGAGTTGTGGGAATCATACCCTTGAATGATTTCCTTGTAACTGATATAAACTGACACCAAGAGCCTTGCCAGAATGTTCTGTAACTGGTCCAGCTAACTCCACCACATAGTCAGTCTTCATTTTACAAAACTGAAGGAATGAAATAACCACCTTCCTTTTGATTACTATGTAAGGCAGATGCGATTTGGGGCACTGAGTCTGGTGAAGGTATAAGCAACATCATCAAAAGAGAAAATGCCTGCAAGAAAAATATTTATAGAAATACTCATTGGGAGAAACTTGAATAATGGCATTAAGCTCTTGTGGATCTCACAAGACAAAACCTTTTGGGGTAATAGATACAGGTTTCAGCTGGTATTCAGCTGCAGGTGGTGGTAGCATTTGCTTTTAAATGTGTCCAGCAAAGTTACTTCAGCATAAACCAGCTTGGTTTTGTTTCTTACCATCAGGTTTTACTAGCGCTGTCTTTCCTTTTGAAGAAAAAGGGTAATTGCTAGAAATCTGATAATATCCTTTCTCCTCCTTGAATCTGATAATATCCTTTCTCCTCCTTGGCCACTTCTCTGCCTGATGGATCTCAGGATAAACCTCAAATGTTTCCCCACCTATTTAGAGGGAATAAGTCTTCCTTCTAAACGTCTTCCCGACTGCTTTCTTAGTTTCCAGATCTCATGAGATGGATTATGCACTCAGTTCTCCCACCAATTTCTGAAGCTACAGGCATAGCTCTCTAAAAACGAAGGCTGAGAAATTTCCTTCATTGTCACAATCCTCACGCTAACAGGTGCTTGAAACTTAGAAATATATTTTCTAGTTCATAACAATTTTTTGCTAATATTTTCTCTCTTAGTCCCTAGCACTTTTTGTTTGACTAGATCTTTTAAGGAAAGAATGAACTGCCTGTAATTCGTTTCCAGCAGTGTAAGTTGTAATAGATTCAGGCATATCTGCTTTTCTTTCCAGCAGTGCTAGATTCATATTTGCATCCCTCACTTAAACCTTCAGTTCAAAAAGAAACTGATGGCACTGACAGTTTTTCTACTTAATTTGATGAGATATAGTGAAACACTTGATTCTGTTCAAGTAGGGGTAGTTGAGGTTTCAAAAAGTTATGAATTGGAAATGGCTATTTTTTATTGTAATAGCAGACCAAGGTAGGTCTCTTACCAGAGGTGCATTCTTCCTATTAAACCCACCTTCCTAGTGATCGCTGTGCTTCAACAGGCTGTATGTTAATAACATTTAATGGCATTGATTTCTGTTCTCTTTTCCAGCAAGAAAGTATGACCAGCAGCAACCACAGAAACAGACTGACAGTGTACAGCTCTCAGTGGAATGAAGTTTGAGATGACAAGAACTCAAGCAGTATTGACAGTAGAGTCAGTAAAGAGTAATTTTCAAATCAGAACTAGGCAAGTTTTATTGAATCCATCCTCTCTAATGGTCATTCATTGGGAAGGCAGGCAGCACCTCTGTGCTTGGAAATCATTGCTTATTTTTCCTCACCTGAGCATCACTGACTCCTTCTGACAGGGAACACAGTTGTAGCAGAACACTTGCAATCAATGCAGTTGTGCTGCTGGGGTCACAGAGTACACCTGAGGTTGAACAGCTCTTGAGAGCTGGAGACAACATAATTGGAGAAAAGATTTGGATCTCCAGTTGTTCGTGGCAAGCATTAAATACAGTATTGTATCTTTGATGTTGAAGCCTTAGTGAGATCTAAGAAAAGATCTTGAACACAATAGTTGGGTGTCCAAAAGATGCTGTACTAGAATGTTGTAGAAAAGATGATAATTTAATGTGATGAATTTCATATTTAAGGAGTTTTACTAAAAAATCTGTGAACATTTAGATAATAGAACCACCAGCAATCAAAATATGGTGTGCCCGTAGTGGGTGCCAAACTTGCTAGCACTTTTGATTAATTGCAAAACCAGTGAATGAGTGGAATGCAGTAGAGATGAACCCTTCATTCTTGGTAAAGCATTTGAATGACAAGAAATATTACTTGAAAATATCCATTAGCGTGGCTGCACATAATGTTACGGAAGTTCAGCTGGCGGAAAGATTATGAACTAATGATAAATAACAATTTATAGAGTTGAGAGCAGATGTCTAGAATATCTAATTATCACTTATCTTTCATTGTTCTTGGAGAGAAGGCAAACAACATCTTACTTCACAAAACTCAATTTAGAATTGAATATGATTTTCATGTTTTAAAATTTAACTGAGTTTAACAAACTGAGTTGGCAGTGACCTCTCTATGTCCCTTGAACTGTTGTCCTGCGTTTTGTCTCATATGCTAAGTTTCTCTGTATAGCAGTGCATCTTGGGCCCAGATGCTGTGCTAAGCACAGTAGGAGACCACAAGCCAAGTTGGTTGTAGCTTCCAGATTCTCAGGTGAGCTCTGCTATTCTGGACTAAATTAGATCAGTTGAGGGTTTGTTCTAAACTCTTATCAGCTGGTAAACTCCAGGAAGTAGTCTACTGGAGTATAATAGCACATGATAGAGAAGCTTGTTAAACCAGTCTGCCAGGCAAAGAGGATGCATTCTTTGCCAGGGACAGTTCTCAGATGGCAGAGTCTGTCAGCTTTTAGTCCAAATGTTCCATAGGATCAAGCCAGAAAATGTAGTACTTTAAAGACGAGTGCCATATGGTATAGTTGTAAAAATTAAAGTACGTAAAGGTAGAAAATAATATAAAGTGGCTAAGAAATACAAGGAGAAAATATTTTGTGAGGAAAAATGCATCCTAGTACAAGTGAAGAATAAGAATATGTAGAGGCGGTAGAAGAAAGCTGTTAAGCAGTAATGCTGAGAGATCCAAGTATGATAGCAACATACATCCAAACTTTTTTTTTTTAGTGTAGTACAGAAATAGAAGTAGAAAAACTAGTAGGTTTAGATATCTGAGAATTGCACAGATGAAAATGACCTAGTCTGGTCTAAATTTGTACTTGAAAGAGCCACCACCTGAGATTAGCATCACTTTCTTTGGAAGACCCTTCCATAATAATCTCATGTTGGGGAGCATTTCTTGAAGGGCTTCTTTTTCCACCCTTGCTTACGTTTCCTGGTATTAAATTATGCCAGGGCATCTGAAATGTTTTTCTTTGGTATTGAATCATAAAATAAATAGTACATTAAAACTGCATTAGGCTGAAGAGCTATATTTGTTGTTTCTTCTCCCTCCTCCCCCCCCAATCTTGTCCTCTCCTAAGGACTTGTTTAAAAAAAACAAGTCCTGTAATTTACATGCTTCTCCTCAAACTTTTGTGGAAACAGTGTAAGGTGTATGTATACTTGTCTCCATCACTGTGGTTGCCCCTCAGGAAGGAGCGTGGAGCTATGAAGTTGTAGTTCTTGTTTCACTTCTCAACTGGCAGTAATTCTCTGTATTGCATGACCCTTCTTGACCAAGTCCTCATATTTTTACAGTTTTTTACACACGTGACAACTAAGGAGCATACCATTTTCACAATCTCATTCCTAGCTGCACCAAAAATAAAATATGGGACTCTTACTATGATAGGCTGCAGCCAGTAAATGAGACTGGGTTCTATCAGGAAGATCAGGGCAAATTATGTACCTGGCAGTGCTCTCAGAGCTAACCTTACATAAGCAGTTCTACAAAGCAAGAGGAGTGAAAGTCTTCAATTACCTTATCACATGTTGTTTGTTTTGCAAGACAGACTTGCAAAGGCAGGGTAATAGCCCCAGGAAAACTGTTCTGTCTCTGGCTCTATCTATCATCATTTTTATGTGCTGTTAAGTGGGTTACAGCCACTAACATGTTCAGGTCTAGGGGTGTTTCTTGTAAGTTTATTACCTTATAATATTAGAATATATTTTTGAATGCAAACTTTGGGGTGGGGGGAAGGAATCTCTCAATGCATACCCAGTAACATTTGAAAAACTAAATTGTTCTGATAAAAGTACAGGTAAGCTGCAAGAAGCTTAACTGCTAACTAAATTATTTAAAATATAAGACCAAAACTTAATTTAAAAAAAATGTTTAAACTAATCTTTTTAATTGCTTGTAGTTTGTTCTGCCTCATTGCAGAAATGCGTAACAGATTTGTCACCCAAGCATACAATTACAAGACAAAAAGCATAGATTTGACCTTCATCACCCTGGAATCTTGGTTTCAACTGTGTAAATTTCAACTGTTCATTTTACCAATGCGACCCTCCATGGGCATTCTTATTTTGGCATAGTGAGGTTAGAGCCTTGTTGTAGCCCTGAGGGTGCAGGATGTGTGTAAGGCTCCCTCTACATGCCACAGTTTAAGGTGTTATTAACCAATTAACACCTTATTACAAGTGGGTCTTAAAAAACCTCCATCCTTGGACAGACAAGGTTCTTTGGGTAGGTGCAATATCTTTTGTTAGACCAACTAAATAGTTGGAAAAATTGTTCTTTGCAAGGTTTTGGGCACAAACCGCCCTCCTTCAGGCATCTCTATCCTTAGAGGTTTTTAAGACCCGGCTAGACAAAGTCTGGGCTGGAATGACCTAGTTGGGGATGTTCCTACTTTGAGCAGGGGGCTAGACTAGATCAGAGTTTCTCAAGGATGGGTGGCAGGGGAGGAAACTGGCAGAGCCAGGCAGGGTGTGGGTTGGGACAGCCCATAGATCTTTGCAAAGGGGTCCTGGTAGGAAGTTTGGGAGCCACTGGACTACATGACCCCTTGAGGTGCCCTCCAACCCTAACTTTCTATGATTCTATAATTAATCATGCCTTGTGACCCAGCTACATATTCAACCAATGAATGGTGTGATAACAACCAATAAATAGGCTACAGTTGTTCCAGAATAAATGTATGCAATAATTCCTTAGTTTGTTATAATCATGCCATTAATTGAATATGTGGCCAAGTGCTCCCCGGGGGCTCCATTAACTGAGGTGCTCCCACCCACAAGGGTGCACCGCCAACCCTGCCGGCGCCGCTCCTGCCGTGAGCCTCGTCAGCTTGAAGCCGGGATCACTGTGAGCCTCCTGAGACTCCCACTGCTGTGATCCCCATCAGCTCTGGAGCTCGCAGCCTCGGGACCTGGTGCAGGGGGAGCCTGGGTCCTGATCCTGGGCTCCCCCTGCACCTGCCATAAGGATGGAGGGCTCTAATACGCCTCTTGCCTTGTATCTATGGCACCATCGCGTGCGACATTCCGTGGCACTTTTCCCGGCACCCGAAGAGACGCGGGTTTCGTGCCATACCCTTTTTAAAGGTGGCGGCCGGAGAAGCTTTTGCACCACAGGTGGGTGTGAGCCAGGGGCAGGGAGAGGAGTCCCCCGAGGGCTCTGTCAGCCCCTGGCGTAGGGATGGGCCCTGCCCCACGGGGAGGGTGCTGAACAAAGCCCATTGAACCGCATGGGCAGCGGCCGAGCCCCGCCCCCGAGGCCGGCGGAGACTCACGTGCTCCCAGGCCCGCGCCGCTTCCTCAAAGCGAGCGCTCAGCCGGCCTCCGCCCCCTTAAAGGCGAAGCAGCCGCAGGCTGCAGCCGTTGCCCTTGCCTCGCACTCGCTCTCTCGTCCCGGCCTTTAACGCCCCCCCGCCAGTGGTCCCCAGAGCGCTGCAACAGCAGCCTTCCCCTGCAGGCACTGGAGTCACCAGAAGTGACGTCAGACAGGGGGAGGGGCTCCGTTCCGCTTCCGGGTCGCTCCGGCGGCGGCTGCTGCGCGTGAGGCGGACCGGGCCGGGCCTCGGGGCGGTTGGGCTGGAACCGCCTGGCTAGGGGCGGGGGGCGTAGATGATGGATGTGTATGGGATGGTTCGTAGAGGGATGTTCCTGCCCGGGGCGGGGGTTGACTACAGCCGCGGAGGTCCCGCCCGGTCTAAGTACACCCTGCAACGGAAGTAGGAGCCGGGCAACGTGTGTGCGCAGGGCCAAAAGGAGTTGGGAGGGCGGCGGCCGAAGACGCACCAGGTGTTAACGTCAGCTAGGAGCAAGGGGCATGAGGGGGTCGGCGGTTTTGCTCCGCTAAAAGGGGGGAAAGGAGCACAGGCAGACCCAGGACTTTGACAGGGGGGTGCAGGTGGCAAGGCACATCGTTGGACATACAGCAAACACATTTTTCTCCCATTGAAAAGAAACGGGGGGCTCGGGCTGTATTGTTCAGTTTAAGATTGAAGGAAAAACGAGCAGAGCTTCATTGGAACAAGCTAAAAGCATTCTGCAAGGCTGGAAAATGGGAGCTTCCTTACCAGGAGCAGCTAAAGGCAGCAGAGCAGCAGAAGAAAGGATAGCTGTGTTGGTGCAACATCAAAGCCGTTAAGAAGGAGAGACGGTCATTAACACTTGTGGGACGGAGCGTTTATATGGAATCGGATCATACTGAGCCTTATGGCTGCCTGACTAATAACGGTGCTGCCACTGCCAGGCAGCTTGACTTAAACAGTGTGGAGCAGGAATTACACCCCCGCCCCCTAGCCCCATATCTGCCCCTGTAAAGGAGAACTAGAGCATAAGGATATTTTAGAAAATCTGAAATGGTCTTGTGTCAGAGAGGGGTGAAATAGGGTTGGGGCAACAGGGAGATGATGTTTATCTTAGACCTTGTTTTCCAGGTAGTTAAAATGAGAGATTTTTCAAGACTTGTGTCAAAAGAGGTACCAGGGCAGTAGGCACCCTTGGCCGATGCTACCAAATGGTTCATACCCTGAACTTTTAAAGGAACATAGAGTGCTTCTCTACAAAAAAATACTCTCTGTCATTAAAAACAGACTCTGTACCAGAGTATTGGATGGGTAGATTCAAATTGGGCAGATTACCAGTCTAATCCACTCTTGCAGTTCCTGTATTTGTGGAACGGTTGTAAAATCTGCCAGTTCTGCTTTTGCTCTTTGACCAAATCAGCCTGTGGCATGGTTGACTGTCCCTAGATGATATCCGCATGCACATTAGTTTGGTGTTAGCAAGTGGTGGCTACATTTTCAAGTTCCCCAGTCAGGCTTCGTGTGCTTGATGTTCTTTCGCTTAACAGCACAATCTCTTTTAAGAAGCTTGTACATGAACATGGGCCAATAAAGTTTGGGATTTACTGCTAGCAAATATTCTATTATTGTAATATAATTCCTGGACATGCGAGAGTGCCTGGCCTTCTGTAAGGCTACTGTCAACTGGAACTGCACCTGAAACTCGTGTTCGTAATAGATGTAACTACAACAAGATTACCAAACTAAAAGAGCTCAAGGAAAAGCATATCTTTGCATCTTTCACCTACTCTCTCACCTCTCTTGCTTTTGCAATTCTGTCACATAGCAGCAGGGGATACAAGCATTAAACTATCAAGAACCTGGTTTTTCTTGCATTTCTTCTTTTCTTTTTAACTGGGAACATGGATGGATTTTGTCTCAAGTAGGGTTCATTTTTGGTAAAAATGACTTGTTTTAATTTGTCCCTCTTAAACAAGGTTCTCAGTAAGATATCAGTTCTGCCATGAGTAGATACATTAGAAGACAAAGTTCTTTTTTTCCTCCTAGTTGGAGTAAATAATTTCTAGGGTAAAAAGGTGTATTGAGTTCTACATTTGCAAGGAAAGGATTGAGAATTGTTGGCTCTCAAAATTAACTTAGTGGAAAAAATTAAAGTAATTATTTAGATAGCAGCAGTATTAAATGGTCAAGTAACCCAAGTGTCTGACATGCTGTGTACAGTAAGTCAATCCAGACTCTCCACTCATCTAAGTATGGCTGTCTTTAGTGTCCAAAGATGACTGCTTCACACATGAAAAGGCTCATGAGTGTTCCGTTTCTGTGCAATTTTATGTATCACACAACAATAGAAACAGGAAAAGTTCCTTGAGTGGGTCTCGGAAGTTTTCCAGTATGCCACAAATGAACTGGCATGCAGCCTGGGAAATAAGACTCTTCCAACAAACAAAATGTACTCGGCTGAAGGTTCAGTGATATAAAATAGTCTGTCTATGAAATATAATTCCTTATATTATGTAAAAAATCAAGGTGGTGCTGTATTTAGCAGCAATCTGATACTACACATTTCAATAAAGAAACATTTTAAAACAATCTGTTCTTTCCAGTTTATGGTCTTTCTGTGTACAGTAAGCAAGAATATTCCACCTTTCTGTTAAAGTTATGCTTGGAACAATTGTGAGATGATATTTAGAAATAACATGAAGCTGTGCTTGTTT